CGTCTTTATCCTGGCTTGCGCAGCATGCATGAAACCAGGCACTCGATGAGTTCAGCAGCCGTGGGAGGGCGGGCCGCCTCGGCCGAACAGGACTTACGTAGCCGGCATCGGGAATCTCTTGGCCATCTGGATCGTGCTTGGGGTGCCACTCCCAGCAGTCTGTCAGGTCCTTCAGTCTATCTCGGTGGAAGCCCAAGTGTGCCAACTTGCACGCCCGAGTCTGAGAGCAGCTGTTGCTTCCCAACGCTACAGGGTCAGCATCCCAGCAACCTACCTCTCCAAGCAGGATCAACTTCAAAAAATCCCAAGCGAAAGATTGAGCCTCGGCCTCGGGCGCAGCCATGGGAGATTGTGCGCAGTGGCTAGCACAGTGTACTGATTTTCACTAGGGCGAGAGCGATTGGAATAAGAGCACGCTGGTCTCTGGAGAGATGGTGGGTAGATTGGGGGCTCCAGCCAGAGGTTCGGAGCCATGCCCGTACACATGCTTGTCAAGCCCTCACTCAACAACAAACGTCATTGCGAGAATAGTTCATTCATCATAGTTGGGATTCTATCCTTGCATGTTGTAAACTCATTCTGAGATATCTGGTGCTATCTATGGAACAAAGGACATTGACAACACGCCATGTCTGCAATTGAACAAATTTGATACAAGATGGCATTTCTTGCTTTCCGTCCAGCGGGCTGAAAGCCTTGCTCGTCACACGTCTTGAAGTGGACCCTGGCAGGCAGACCACCATCCTGCGGCATGCGAAAGAACGCCACGAAACGAGTTCTGCTCGAGATCTGGCGGCAACTCGTTGACCCTTTCTCGTGGGCTTCTTGCTTCGTCGGGTGGCCGATGTTTCACTTCGTCGGTTCTCGGGGGTTCAGCACAGCTGCCGTGTTGGATTCAACGATGCCTTGAGACAACTCGACAATTCCTACCAGCAAGGCGTGCGGAGGATGGGCGCTTCAGTCCGATAGGCGTCGAAGATGTGTCGCAGCTTCAGCACTGGTGCCCAGGGTGTTCCGGAATTGGCGTTGGAGACCACAGCGAGTGCCAAAGACACCGGAAGGTTGTGAGGTTCCAGGCTATCGGAAGCATCATAAGCGGCATTCAGCTCCCCCTCCTTCGTTTCGATGGGCTCGTGACACCAATGGAAGATCAGCATCTTCGGGAGTGCGCCCATCCAACGGACCCGGCCAATGACAACCTCGTTGGTATCATCGAGGACTGTGCCGCGGATCCTTACCAAGTCTTTGGGAGAATAGGATATCTTCATGTTCTCAGCAGGAAGCCCCAAGAAGATGTGAAGGCCACGCTGGTCGATCTCAAAGGGATGGTCGTGATACCATGCCATGAATTGAGACATCCACAAGGCAAGTGTGCCTGAAGCACGCAGGTAGAACACGCCGATGTTGATGCAGTCTGCATCGGCATGGCGGGCGAAGACCGCATCCCAATCGGCGGCTGACGAGAAGATCCGCTGCGTGGGGTCGCGCAGCCAGAAGGTGTCCATGTCCGTGTACAAGACATCGATGCCAAGATGCAGTAGCCCGTGAATGCACGTGAAGCGATGGACCTGAGACATCGTGTCTGGCACCCAGCAAATTACCTGCAAGCTTGCACCTGGTGCGTTTGCAAATGCCTGCTTTCGACAAACATCTGCTGCATCTTCACCGATGGCGATAACCAGCAGCGGGTATTTGACATGCAAACGAGACATGTGCTGCACCATTCTTTCCAGCAGATAGGCCCAAGCTTCTTTGTACAGCAGCACCACATAAGCCATGCGCCGCGGCAGCCCTTGCCACTCCAACGCAGATGCCACGGCCTGCGCCGCATCGATCAAACTGCGTACGATGGGCCTCAAGGGCCCCCACCTGTCCTCACGACGCCGGGCCTCCACATGGAGAGTCTCTACGTAGCTTTCATGGTCCATCTGCACGAGGAAGTCCACTTTCTTTGAAACCTCCTCCCTCCATTTGGGGGAAAGAAATATGTTGTCAGGAGAAGCCAGCGGGGACAGCTCATCGTTCCGCAAGTTCCAATCGCTGAAGAGGCGCATGTACTTGCGATCGCCGCCCCAGAACCATGCCCCTTTATTCATGTCCGCGAAAATGCACAAGACATGCCAGATGGGCCAGGGTGACAGGCTCACAACATGAAAAGGTAGAGCCTGGATTGGAGGCCATGAAAGCCAACTGCACAGTTTGGTTTCCTGGTGAACTTCTCGACCAGGCACAAAAAAAAGGTCAAAGAGGACATGACTTCACACCAAGGAACCCGAATTGCTTGGTCTACAACCTTGCCATAAGGTGGCAAGTCGTCAGTGAATCTTCCGGCCCCTGCCGCCATGATCAAGCCAGTAGCTGTATAAAAGAGGTGACCTAAAGGACACTCGTCCCGAGCCCTACTCAAAGTCTGTGCGGATTGCATAATGTCGTCGCTGCAATCCAAGGAGTCCACAAGCAGGGCATCCAAGGTACTGTTTCGATCTGGGTTGTCTTCCATGTAGTACTGTTCAATCCACTCCATACCAAGCAGCCTGCAGGGGCCCCAATTCGTCACACCAGCGACTCCGTCGCAAAGAGCAGCCTCGTCATTGGTGTGATAGAACTGGGAGAAGTGTGCCAAAGCGGGAAAGACGGGCCACCGAGTAAGGGCCAACACGTAAGTTGGGTATGTTGTCAGGAGGCTCTGAATCTGGCTCGCCTCAGCTTAGGCGTTTAAGGTTTCGGAGCCCAAGACCAAGCTGCATTCTGCCTCCCCTAAAGCACATCAGCTAAACCAACTAAACCAACTATACCGACTAAACCTACTAAACCAACTCAACCAACTAAACCCATGAACACCCAGCCTCTCTGACATGATCATCTATGTCGCCGCGTCCCACGGAGTAGAAGTGCAGGATGAGCAGATACAGAACTCCCAGTGGGCATTCGGCCAAAGCAGCTACGGACTGAGATCCAGGCACTTGCTCCAGCACTAGGAACCTGGCTTAGGGAGGCAACACTTAATAGCCTACCAGGGAGACCGAGATCAAAATACTCAAACAACGATTTTTGGGAACCCAAAAACCTTCAAAATACTCAAACAACGATTTTAGGGAACCCAAAAACCTTCAAAATACTCAAACAACGATTTTAGGGAACCCAAAAACCTTCAAAATACTCAAACAACGATTTTAGGGAACCCAAAAACCTTGAGAACCGGAACCCATCTAAATCAAGCGAGCGGCCCCAGCTCTTCCGGGAAGGAAAAGTTGGAGTTCACCGGGTTGGGTGCAGCTAAGCTTGCCCGAACGCCTTGAAAGACGCTGTTCCAGTCCACGACGGCTCCCGGCTTTGTTCCTGCTAGGGCACCTGGGTCGATTTAAGGGCTAAGGGCCGTTAAGGTTACGTTCAGGGTTTAAAGGGTGGGGGTCTTTGGCAGGCTTTCATGAAAGACCTACCATGCGAGTTTCTCCATTGCGGGTCTTGTTTGCGGTCTTGGTTGTAGTTAGCTAGGGCCCGAGTACCGGGCACTTCTGACCTTGTGCGTTGCACGTCAAATGCAACAAATGTAGCCAGTGTTAGTACCGTTTCTAGCCACAATGCCAGTACAGCGTCGACATCAAGTTTCAGGGAGTTTAGCGCAGAATGTTAACGCGCTTTCGATATCTTAGCTGACATCACAGGAGTTGCCAGGTTAATGTTTAGGGTTTAGGGTTTAGGGCTTATAGGGCTTAGGGTTTATAAGGTTTAGGTTTTAGGGTTTAGGGTTTAGGGCTTAGGGTGGTGCGCTCGCTTGGGCGCGCTAAAGCTCCGCGAAAGGAATGTTTTGCATAATTGTTCGCGATCGATGCATGTCGGGACGACAGATTTTAGGTGGTATTGGTCTCAGACTCTCTGACATGCCCCCCAGGCTCAATCATAGTCCACGAAGGCGGACAAACCTGGTTTACGAGAGAAACCGCTGCTGCCGCTGCCATCTGCACTGACGGTCTGGATGCACATGCAAGCTCCAAGCCGCAACATGGCTCATGCTTGGCTCATGCTGCATTGTCCTAAACCCTAAACTCCCTGAACATGTTCCATGACTTCTGCCACGAGCTCTCATTGGGAAAATGAAGATTTTCTTGTTCGTGACCACAGCTTCGGCGGTACACAAGCAAAGACCGTAATCACTCCTACAAAATGCCCACCGAACAAAACAAGTGTGCACCCAGTTGATCACAGTTTGACTCCAAATTAACACGACGCACCACGGTCCAAGGCTAGCAGCGGCTAGCAATCGCCGACTTGGCGCTGCTTTGTACATGCACTACGTGCACCTCCCTCAAATCAAACGGCCTCCACCTCTCGGCTCAATCCACACAACCCATCTGGCCTCACCTGAAGGATGTCATCGTCTTGTAAGATAGGCAAGACGTTATGTTAGGCTCATCCTCAGCATCGGGTTGTTCGGAACCCCCTTCTGACAGGGTTGACTCAAGATCATCATGAGCATTAACAAGGCCACCAAACCAAGGCTCTAAGCCTTTCAACCGCTTGCCTACACCAGCCTCTAGAGTCCTGTGCCCGCCTGATGAAACCTGGCCAAAGCATGTGATGGATGCACACAAAACGACCGAACCAAAGCGGGACAACACGAACTGGAATCCGACAAAACACACTGGTGAGAGGAGGTACTACTTGTACACAACCTACCGGGCGGCGCTGGCAGGGTTTTCTTTTTTTGAACGCTAGCTCCTTTACCGCATCAGCAGCACAGTGAGCGAGTCTCTCAAGCCTGTTGCTCGAAACAGGTGAGACGCTGTGCAAGCTTGCAAGCGTTCAGGAAGTCGTGTCTACAAAGAAGCAAGCGCAGAAGCCCTTATTGCAAGACAACCAAACACAAGACCAGCAACGCGAGACCAAGACCAAACAAGAAACTACCGGCACCATTCTCTCACTCTCAGTACTCGAACACGAGGAGGAAGTCTGAGAACCCTGTTACAGAGATCTCCCAATGGTCATCAAAGCTTAGATCGAAGCACTGATATGGTCCAAATTGCATATGAAGCAGATTGCGTGAGCAATTCCATCCGTCAGCTAAAAAGGCTTCTGTACGATGTAAGCACGTCCGCCCATCAGCCGCAGAGCTCTCATCTACGGAGAAAGAGCGCGAATCACGCTGCACGCAAGTAAACTTTTTTTTGGCAACGAGCTTCTTTACCACATCAGCGGCGCAGTAAGCGAGTCAAGCCTATTGCTTGTAGGAGGTGAAACCTAAATGTCAGACGCATCATCCAAAAGACAAACGAACCAAAGAAACCAAACAAGCCAGAAGAATCGACAAAGCTACAATGGTGAAACGGCTCTCTCAGCACGCGAAGAGGAGCAGATAGTTGTACCAGCTGTTGCGAAGTGTCTGATGAGAGGCGGCACTGCAAAGGATTTCAGCGAAGTCAAGCTGCCGAAAGTGCGGGACCAGCAAGCGTGATCCGGTATGGCAATTGTCGTTCCGCTTTGACACGGGCTGGCCGAATAGTGGGAACAAAAAAGCGACGCAGACCATCCAGCCAAACAGAAAGGGTGCAGCCACAGCCACACCATATTATCCGCCAGTTCAACTGCAAATCCATTCCGCAACCAGTCGAACAGAACGTAAAAAGCGTCCCCATTGAACCCATCCTCCTTATTGCACGGTTCGAAAGAGAAAAAGTTTCTTTCTCTGCCAGAGGCAAGGCAAGACGAACCCAAGCGCGTGAGCAGATCCGAAAGCAATGCCCCCGGGCCCAAGCACATGCAACCCGCCGTAGTGGTATGTTGATAAACGGGCTAGGAAAGCAAGGTGTTCCTCCAGTCTCCTACGACTTCCGTGGCATCCCCATCATTGCCACTGCCTTGTATTGTCCCAGTTGTTGGCAACGGGGGGAGATCCTTCGACGCGCGCCGGAAGCCGGCAGGTGGCATGGTATTCCTCAAGCCCCAGGAGCAGGGCTTCGACCGTCTCCTGGAAAGTTTCTCGGTCTTTTCTTTTGCAATGAGCTTCTTTACCACATCAGCGGCGCAGTAAAGCGATCGCTTGTGTTAGGTGAAACGTACTAGCAAGCGGAATGGAAGTCGTGTCTACAAAGAAGCAACCGCTAGCGCAGAAGCCCTTACTGCAAGACAACCAAACACAAGACCAGCAACGCGAGACCAAGACCAAACTTTTGTCTTAACGCGGACGCCCCTTTACCACATCAGCAGCACAGTGGGCCGGTCTATTGCGACGAGGTGAAACGGCCATGACTACCGCAAGCAACCAAACAGCACAGAACAACACGCAACACACACGAGAAAAGCAAAACGGTGAAACTTCCCTCTCTTAGAGCATGAAGAGGTCGAAGTGGACCCGTTGTGCGCTGTGTTGGAGGGAGCGCAGAGTGCGGTTCGCAAAGCGCGGTCGGTCTGCCAGAAGCAAAATCACGTTCCATGCTTAGTCAGGTTGTCCCCCTCGCCCAGGTCATTCATACGGTCATTCCCTGCAGTACCCGTTGCGAGACCAAGACCAAACAGAAAACTACCGGCACCATTCTCTCACTCTCCGTGCTCGAACACGAGAGGAAGTCTGAGATTCCTGTTAAGGCAGAGCCGAGACACTGAAAAGGTCCAACTTGCTTATGAGCAAATAGCATGAGCAATTCCATCCATCAGCAAACTACGAGCATGGGCAACAAGACAAGCAACCCCCTCTGACGGCCACAGATCTGCGGTCAACTTGGCTGCGCCGTTGGCCAGGCCGGCTAGCAAGTGTTGGTGATGCGCGAAGCAAGTGTGGCCCACACTACCGCCCGCTCAGAAAAACCCAAGAGACTGGCCCTACAGGTATGCCACTCTGGAGTGCGCAAGGATCGGCTTGAAAGAAGAAGAAGAAGAAGAAGAAGAAAGAGAAAAAAAACAATACAGAGAAGGCGGAGTCGGCGGAGTTCTCGCAAATTGCAATTTACCAATAGAGTGCCGTGGAGTCCTAGGTTTCCCGGAATAACAAAACCATGTTTTTCAACTCGGGAACACAACGACTCCGCCGTTCGCGGGCAGGCTCGCCACCTTGGTCCGTTTTGCTAAGACTCTAGAGGGGTGGAGGGCCTCCATCACGCAGCAGGAAAGTGAGGTTAAGCCGAGGCGAGCCCCCCTCACCCCAACCCTTTCACAAGAGGTCAAACCCAACCCAGCCCCTACCATCCCTTTGTACAAAAGGAACACAGATCACGAGCCTACGAGTGGAACCTAAACTCGCTCCAGTCGCAGTCACACAGTCACGACCCTCCAAATGCACCTCACTCAGTACTCGAACATGGGGCCAAGCGTCCTTACACACGCGATCCTACCGCTAAGGGACTACCACCCTCTTTCCATGCCACGCCGACGTGCTGCATACTGTGGCCTAGTGCCTCTGCCATGATGTCACGCTGCTCAACGCCAACATGCTGCGTACTGTGGTCTAGTGACTAGTGCCTCTGCCATGTTGTCGCCCTGATCAACGCCAACATGCTGTGTACTGTGTTCTAGTGTCTCTGCCAGGTTGTCATGTTGCTCCATGCTGTCTGCAAAACTCGCGTCACCATGAAAATCTCTCATACCATGGAAAACATGCTCAAACAACTATGCTTCTTCGGCTCCTTGCTCGCTGTCTGTATCGCTGTCTTCACCCAACGAAAAATGCTCAACAACAACTGGCCTGTCGTGCTCTAGCACTACCGCTGCTAGCTGTGGCTCAAGCAACAAGGTTCCGCCAGCAACCCTGGCCTCGCCCTTGTCCTTGCCCTTGCTGGGACCTTCAGGTTCGAGTCGTAGAAACGCAAAGCAGTCTCAAGCTCTCCGAGATTGTCAATCTTTGCTTGCAACAAGATGTAACGCTTGACTTCGAAACTTAGGTTCTTCAGGACAATCATGCACTTGTCTGCTTCTGACAACGCAAGGTCGCTGAACGATGCTGTAAGTCTTGAGTATCGAGCAAACTCAACCTGCAACGCTCGGAACATATCCAAAGGTCGGTCTTTGCTGACTGAGGGCCTGCGCTGCATGACTTCTTCTCGAAGTGTGGATGCTTCTATCCTCGATCCCACTGAAAGTTCGAGATGAAGACGTCGCATCGCCTCATATCCTGCAGAGACGCCTAGTTGTTCCTTCTCAACCTGCTTCAAAATGTCAAGTCCACGTGCATATCCTGCGAATGCCTGCTTGATGTACAAGTAAACCCAGCTACTTCGGATAGCCTCGTTTCGATTCAGAGCTCTGTTATCAACAGTCGTAGCACTCGCCATGGCCTTGTGAATCTCTCCTGGTATCCTGTCGTCAAACAATGACACCCATGACAGGAAGAGCTCAAGGAAGTCGATCCAAGCCTCTATCTCGGATCTCCGGCCCTTTCCCATCTTTGCTGCGCTGGGGATCTTGGGGATATAGTTCTCGGCCTTGGGGTTGCGAATTGCTACCTCTGTGTCAACATCCATTGCTCCTGTGTCACTGGTGTCCAACGAAAGACCTGAGCTGTCACCTCCAGTGTCCCTTCCAGTTCTCGCTGGTGCTGCAGGGGCTACTGTGACTGGAACGTCTGCACCAATGACATCATTTGTGCTATCTGTTGCTGCTGTTGTTGCACTGTCTGCGTGAGCAACGTTGTTTCAAGCTGTGGCATCGGCTGTGGGGGCGGCGACCCCATAACAGGGGAACTCTGAAGAGATCCTCCTGGCATTCCTGCTGTTGCTGACACATTGCTAATGGGACTGAAAGCCTTTGCCTGCGCTATTAACGCTGCTGCTGCTACTGCTGCAGTTGCATTCCTGTCCCTTGGTGGTCGCTCCTATGGTGGTTCCAACGAGCCTCTGCTCCTTCTACGCACCATTCCTGCTTCACCTTCTTGACCGATGTCGTAGTGTGACGGTCTGCCACGCATGTTCTCTGCCATGTCTGACTGTCAAGCGTTGCAACACCAACCAACAAGGAACAACTGCCAACTGCTGTCTGCGTATTGGGCTCAACTCTTCTCTGAGCGGATTCACACGCTC